CATAGTGAGTCCCAGGACAGCTGGAGCTAAAGGGAGACCCTGTCTCAAAAAGACCAAAAAAAAAGAAAAAAAACAAGTAGTAATTAGTAGATGTGAAAAACATTACCATTGAAATCTACCTTATGACTTTATATCCATGCTCAGATGCCAAGGAGCTCAGAAAGTAACCAACTGTGACTAGTGATAATCAAATATATAAATTAGAAACACATGCGCAAACATCTTAATGTCAATTGCATTAAAAATGAATTTTTCTGTAAAAAAAGAAGTTAAATAGACTGAAACTATAAATTCTGATTACACCATTAACTTAGCTGAATAACCTTGAAGAAGTCACTTTTCTTCTTCAAACCAAAATTTTCCTATTTATAATGTATCACAGATGACTTTTTTAGCTACTAGAATTATAAAGTGTAGAGTATTATCACAATAAACAATGAAATTCTATGGAAACATTACACTTGTACTAATTAGGAATCGGAGAGATGATAAAATATTTGGCAGAAACACTCTCTCCCAAGTTCCAATCCAAATATTTCCCAGAGCCACTCATGAGCACTGATTCAAATGGACTCTATTTTTTGTGCTCTTCTATTCTTAGTAAAATGCTCAAAGGCTGGCCATTAAAAATGAGAACAAGTGCCATCTACACAGCACATCAATCCAGTCTCTTTTGCCTCCTTTTTAGGCACTGTTTTTGTGGGGTTGTTTAATTTTGTTTTATATGGACTAAGCCAAACTATTGAGTCAAGTTTCTTCAAAGCTCAGTTCAAATCTTACTTCTTTTCATTCCCATTGTAGCATATATTTATCTCACCTCCTTTTCTCTTCCTTCCTTCCTTTTTTTTCCTTTTTTTTTTTTTTGACACAGAGTCTCATTCTGGTGGCCAGGCTGGACTTGAACTCAAGGCAAGCCTCTCAATTACGTTGTAAGTGATTGCCAGGCCCCATCCCTCATTCTTTTAAATTACACCTCTATCATAAAGAGTAAATGAGGTTTGTAAAGCTTAGTCTAACATTTGTATATGGTAAGTGCTTAACAAATTATAGTAGTTAGTATGTTGCCACACCACTAGCACTAGTCATATATCCTTCAGTTCAGTGTGTCTCATCTTAGGCTCTTGTTCAAATGGAAAATACATTTCAGTGGGTGTAAAGTGAGACCTGAGATTCTGTCATTCAAAAAGCTTCTGGTTGATGTCAATGTTGTCAATACAAGGATCATACTTTGAACACAAGAAGTGGGGTTAAGTTTAGTAAACTTTTTTTAGTGTGTATTTATTGGGCGTGGTGGCACACACCTTTAATCCCAGCACTCAGGAGGCAGAGGCAGGTGGATCTCTGTGAGAGCAAGATCGGTCTGGTCTATATAGTGAGTTCCAGGCTAGCTGGGGCTACATGGAGTCTCTCAAAAACCAAATAGAAAGTGTTTATTCATCTTATCTAGTCAGCTGGATAGAAAGCTCTCGAAAACAGATACTATTTCTTGTTTTTTCTTAGCAAATGTACCTTAGAAAAGATGCTCAATAAACATCTGTTGATTTATCATATCTGTGGTATCTAGATGATCAAGAATACCTGGGCAACACTGATTTTCAAATAAAACAGAAATATGCCAGGATGAAAAGCTTACTTGATTGCTGGAGTTACAATCACTTGCATGGAGGTAGAGGAGAATCTGGAAGAAAACTTACCTCTTCACTAGAGAGCATATAAACAATAATATGCACAAATGGTCATCAGTTCTTTGTTAAAGCATAAAGACCATTAAAGTGCAATCTTAATTGCACTTCAAATTTAGTTATGAACCTTTAAAAAAGACATGCATTTTCAGACAATATAAAGAACATTAATAAAAATTAAATGGTATATCATGAGCTTTATTTCATTTTTAGTGGCATACTTACGTTTTTCAATACCTTTAGTGTGTAATCTAAAGCTCTCAGGCTCCACTGAAATTTCAAGCAAAAAAAAGAGAAACGCCTTCCAATTTTCCCATTAACCTAGTCAGTGGTCAGTCTCCAAATTACACTGTCCATAATTATACTGATAGAAATCCAAACGAATCCTCTGTGTATTAACAAAGATCTATAAAAGCTGCCTACTTCAAGCCTTTCTTTTAAATATGTAATTATTTAGATGCTTGATTCTTTAAAAAAAAAAAACTCTTACCATCCTATAATTCAAATGGAACCAATATTCTTAAGTTCTGCTGGGAGACTACACTCTTCCTATTCAAGCTCCAGAAAAATGGTGTTGGATATATATAAAACACCTGCTTACTGAAGACTATTTAGGTAGCTTAAACTGTGACACAAATTTATTTTAATTAGCTTTTATAGAAAAAAGAACTCTTGTAAGCTACTGTGTGACAAGAAGCCACCTGTTCCTAATTCAAAGAGATCTTTCAATAAAACCACTCATCAATATTTAACTGAGTTGTTTTTAACAAATTTAGACATGTTATTAGAAGACAAAATTCTGGGAATTGCTATTAACTACAAAAAACACAGAAACAGAGACTGCCATCAAGTCCTAGACTCAAATTGGGCTTATGAGGTTTAATAAATCAATGTTATTACTTCGGAGAAAAATCATAGAGCAGTTCAGAGTCAGCCCACAGGAAAGTGAATCCTATTACTTCCATCAGAAGACAGTCTCTAGGGCAAAGCAGATTCTCTGGTTTATACCAGGCACTCTTCCTAGAAAATAATACTATCTGAGGAGAATTTCAAATTTTGTCTCTAATTAAACACAGACCCATAGCAGCCTCATGATACTCATACAAATAATTATCTATCTATCCAAAGGCACCTAACTAGCCATTAGAACCAAGTAGTTTCAGTAGGATGAGCGATCAGGACAAAGCTCAAAAGAGTCAGACTCTTGCACAGAAAAATGAAATATCAGCATCATTCCCATTCCTCCCCCCTGCATTCTTTTTTTATTTTTCTCCCTTGGCTTTCTTCAGGACTCATTTTTTAAAAGGTATTTACCAATAACCACAGATTTCACTAACTGAAATAATAGTCTCAACCAATAATTCTAGGTTCCATCTTATTAACTGTTTCATATATTCATTTGAGCATGTTTTTTCCAAAAGGCCCACACACCATCTAACTCCTAAAAGCTTACTGTTTTTATTATTACTGATAATATCATTACAGTGAGGAACTATAGTGGAATGATAACAGTGAAGCCAAACAGGCCTAAACTCAATGTGCTGTTCTACCATTTGTTAGCTGTATGACTGTGCACTCATCACTCACCTCTGCTAAGCTGCAGTTTGGTAGTGAAATTCCAATGGAGTATCACATGAAGAGTTTTTGCTGGGGTACCATACAAGGGATGCTTAATAGAGCTTAGTTTCCTTCCCTTCCTTTTTAATAAGCACTTGTTGATCTGAACTGTTAGAGTCATTCTTCTAGGAGACTGCCAGTGGCACTATTGTGGAAGTTTCCCCATTATCCTCTTACTGGTACCTTTGTCATTTCCTGGCAAAGGTCTTTCCTACTCTACTGTTTTGAAGGAAAAAAAAAAAAAAAAAAAAAAAAAGCCAACCACCCAAGTCATGGAAAGGAGAGGATTGCAGCATGGTAACAACAGCTAGCAGAAGGCCATCTCCACAGACACTTCTCCCCTCTGGCAGCTCAGGCAGCATTCCCTCCCTACAGGTTTCCCAGTGAAAGAATGACAGAAAGCAAAGCAATGGAGCAGCTCAAAGAAAAAAAAGAGGTAAACAGTTCTGTGTCCCCCTGTGCCTCCCTCTTGGGAAGAACCTTCAGGTCAGGGTCCAAACCCTTAGGAATAAACAAAAAACAAAAACAAAATAAAATAAACAAAAATTTTCCTCATATTCTTAAAGAAAACTCCTCTGATTCCTGTCCTTTCATGTCTCAACCTCTTTACCAGCCAGCCCACCAGTCCACCATGTCTTCAGTCAGTTTCCTGTGCATTAAAGGACAGCTCTTAATTAATTAGTCTTCAGAGGACCTCATTCATGCTTTTCTCAAAGAGACATAGCACTTTCCTTCAATCTGTCTCACTCTGAGGTAGGAAAATATAATAAATCTCTTTAAAATTAAAAGGAAGGAAAGACATTCTTGAAGTTTCCCCGCTACTGCATTAAGGCAGATCATTTTATTTGCGCCCCTGTGAAAATGGAGACTATTTTACTTAGATCTTCATCTTTCAGATGGAAAAAGTCACCACTATTTTACACACACACACACACACACACACACACACACACGAGAGACAGAGACAGAGAGACAGAGAAGATACAAAGAGAGGGAGAGAGAGATGAGAGACAGACGAGAGAGAGGGGGAGGACAGAGAAGATACAAAGAGAGGGAGAGAGAGATGAGAGACAGACGAGAGAAAGGGGGAGAGGGGGAGAGCGAGAGAGAGAGAGAGAGAGAGAGAACACAAAATTTAAAAACATACATCCCCTCCCCGATGCACAAATACACCCATTTCATTCTTTCTAAACAGATGTCAGGCACACTCTAGGTAAACCTGGGTTAGCACATCTGGATCTAACCCACCCTCATGTCAACCCTGGACACCAGCCTTCAAAGATCCAGGTTTAAAAAAAAAAATTACAATCATCCTTTCTGCCTCAAATACCAATTTCCACTCTATATTATTCCCTTGATGCCTTACAAACTACACTCTGCATCAGCCTTTTTGAATCGGCCATCTGGGACCATTTTCACCTTAGCTTGTATGTGTCTGAGCTGTCACCCGCCCCCCTATAACTACGTCTGAAGCCCCCTAGCGTGTTGAAGTAGCTCCTCCGCCCTGGGCCGGAGGACGCCCCCTCTGGGAGGTCGCGCCCTCCCTCGCCCCCCCCCCCACGGACGCCTGCTCTTCCCCGCGTCCTCCCGGGTGACCTCGCGGCCCCTCCTTTCGGATGCCCGGGTGCGGACAAGGCTCGGGCCCATGCCCACACACCACCCCGGCCTGCAGCTTCCCCCCCTGCCCCGCGCGGTCCCTACCAGTCAGTGTGCGGCTCGTCCACCACCAGCAGCACCTTGGCCTTCCTGGCGGCTGCCGACGAGGACGCGGGCGCGTCCACCAGGCCCGCCGAGGCGGCCGTCTGCTTCACGGCTTGGGACAGCGAGCTGAAGAAGCTGCTACCCACCGACGGCGCGGGCTGCGGCGCGGGCCCCTGGGAGGACTGCGGCCTCCGCTCGGGGCCGGGCGAGGCGGCCGGGGTGGCAGCCGAGGCCGCAGCGGCTCCGGGGCCTGGGGGCGGCGGGGGCTGCTGGGGCTCTGGGCGCTGCAGGTCGGTCATGTAGCCATTGGGCAGGTTGGCGATGAAGCTACTGTCCGACAGCCGGCGCCTCAGGAAGTTCATCATCTGGCTTGAGGGGCTGGGGGCGCGCGAAGTGGCTGGCCGGGCGGCGTGGAGCCGAGAGCGCGCGGGGAGCTAGAGGCTGAGGCGCTGAGGCGGCGGCTGGAGCGGCTGGAGCGGCCGAAGCTGGTACGTGGCGCCCGAGCCCAGAGGACAGCCCAGGCGCACTGGGCAGGGTGAGCCGAAGGCGAGCCGCTGGGCGCTAGGCTGCGGGCGGTGCTGGGGGCGTGGCTACTTCTGGCCCCGCCCCTCTCCGGAGAGCCTACCCCGCCTCTGAGAGAGCCTGGCCTTCCGGCCTCCTGAGCTGTCTGTGACTGCGTGGGCGCCAACTGTCCTCCCCGAGTGGAGGGAAGGGGATAGCCGAGTCTCCACCACCTTTCTGGTGGGAGAGAAGAGTCGTGCCCCAGATGAGGGTGAAGAAACCATTGTCACTATCTTTGGAAGAGGAAAGGTGTCAGCTTCCCTACCCTAAGGTGAGAGCAAAGAGCCACCCGCCAGTGCGCGTGTGCACGCACACATAGGCACAGCATTCGGTGAAAGACAAGAACCATCTCGTTTCCTAAAGGTGAGACAGGTGCCAGCTCCCAACCCCCAGGTGAAGAAGAACGAGCGAAGCCATCCCCGTCAACACACCATGTATGCTGAGGCGGGGAAAGCTGCCCCTTCCTCCATGCTATCTCGGGGAGAGAAGCAGGCCCTCGCCAGGAAGGGCATGTTCCGTGGCCACCCAGCATTGCGCACTGCTCTCTCACTTCCTAGAGCGGAGAGAGGAAGCCACGTGAAGGTTGGAAAGCCCTCTCAGGATCCCTCAGAGAAGGAGCGAAGGCTACCCCCTCATTTAGCTTCCCTGACATGCATTGGTTCCTTCCAGGGTCCACATTGGTCAGACCTGTTTTGACCAACTCCGTGAAGATGTATCTGATGAACACCTTCCCATGTGCACCCTCTGAATTTTGGGTGCCCTTTAGATCTTTCTTTTTACCTCTCTTCAGATATATTTGTTCCTTGCATTGTATTGGGCAAAATGCAGCACATTTACGTTACAGGCAGACCACCTAGAGTGATACATGACCTTGGACAAATTGCTCCTCTGAACCCTTCTCCACAGCTAATAAAAGGAGGTAACGCTTTTCACAGTGGTTGCAGTAAATGAGATCATCTGGCACATAGGAGATAACCCAGTGGTGGTGCCTAAATTCTTATTATCATTTGAATTGGTTTTCAGGAAGTCTTCACTGGGCTAAATGGAATCAGTGAGTGGCTTGTCACTGATGTTGGGGAGTGTTCTCTTCTTCCTACATTCCAGCTGGTGCTCAGCTTATAGGTGAACAATCCAGCTGTGAGTCACTGGTGTAAGAGAGGTCTACAGCCAATTGTAAAATCAATAACCAATAAGAATGGGAAGTGACCCTTGTCTCTAGTAAGCTCACAGTTAAGAGCTAGGAAATCTAGATGATGTATAGACAGGGGAACACTTAACCATGGTAAGATGTGAGAAATGCCGCCATGCCATTGGGCAAGGTGGTCTAGGAACACCAAAGAGAGAGATTTGTTCTGCCTCTGAGGGTTAGGAAAGGTTTCTCAGAGGATGTGATGTTTAACATAGGTCTTGAGGTATTTGTTAAGAGTTTACAGGACTAGAGAGATGGCTCAGCAGTTAAGTGGGCTTGCTGCTCTTGCAGAGGGCCCAAGTTTGGTTCTCAGCACCCATATAAGTCCTCTCACAACCACCTGTAACTCCAGCTCCAGAGAATCTGACACCCTCCCCTAGCCTCTGTGGGCACCTGCATACACGTAGGATATATTCATACACACACACACACACACACACACACACACACACACACACACACACCCATAAATAAAAATAAAAAATCTTTTTTAAAGTTTGCCCATAGAAAAATAAAGCATTTAAGCAGAGAAAACATGGAGGTATGTGAGCTAATAGTGTCTCCTCCAGAATGGGTTGTTTCATATATTGACTTTGTCAGAGCTTCTAAACACATTATAATATTTTATTCAGGTGACTAGGATGTGCACTCTTCTAGCTTAGAAGAGTATCTTAGTTACCTTTGAATCCGCAGTGCCAAGTATCAATTTATGTTATGTTTATAAATTGCCTAGAAGATATTGAGTGCTCCTAACCATGTACAGCCCGTTCTTCCATTTCTTTAAGCAGTGTTTAGAGGTGATAAATGACTTGTGCTAACTTGATGGGTCCTTATCACTTGAAATCTAAGATCTAAACAAAAAAATATTACCTGTCACATAGTAAGGACTCAGTTGTTTAGGAATTGAACTGTATTTTTAACCTAACTCAGTTCTTTTCTACTGAAGAATAAAACTTATGTCACTGTTCACTAAACAAACTCAATTTAACATATTGTCCTTCTTAGAAGTATTTTTTAGAGAATCAAGGGAATCTTTTCCAAACACTTGTGTCTCTAGTGGTAGGATTTCAGAGACTATGTCAGTTCTATTTTTAGGTGACTTTGTTATTTTTTTCTAATATATTTCATTAAGCAATTTTCCTTAAATATTAAGCTTGTAGTATAGTACTTTAAAATTAACCAATTAAAAACATGTCTGAGTGTCTAAAACACATAAGGCATCATATGCTAAAGACTAGATGATAACAGAGATTCAAGTATGACTAGAGCCCAAATTCTTGCCTTAAGACAGCTCATAAATATGCAAGCACAAACTTAGCAATAGCAGAGCAGTCTGTGAGTAACCAAAAAGTGGAGCAGGCAGTGAGTGTTAAAGGAGCCAGAGGAAGAAGCGTTTGCAAGGATAGGAGATTTCATAGGGAGCTAAGGCAATTCAGGTAGGCAGGAAACAGCAGAGTAGAGATGGCAACTAAGAGGTCTAGCAAGAACATAGTCAGGGAGGTTGGACTGACATGTGTTAAGATGGGGTTATCATTATATCTTTGCATGGCATGTAATATGTCCTCCATTGTAGGAGAGACTTAGAGAGACTGTTCATGTCCACCATTCTGTTTTCCACAGTTCAGTTACCTGAAGTTAACTGTGATGCAGAAGCATTAAATTGAAAATTCCAGTGAGTCCAGCAAGATGGCTCAGTGGGTAAAGGTGATTGCTACCAACCCTGGTAACCTAATTTAATCCCTGAGGTTCACGCAGTAGAAGAGAAAAACCAATTCCCACAAGTTGTTCTGTGGCCTCCACATGTGCACACTCACACACACAGCACACACACGTACTGAATCAATAAATGTCATTTTAATTAAAAAAAATAAAATTAGCTGGGTGTGAAGGTGTACATCTTTAATCCCAGGACTTGAGAGGCAGAGGCAGGCAGATCTTTGTGAGACTGAGGTCAGCCTGGTCTACATACTAAGTTCCAGGCCAGTTGGGGCAATAGGGAGACCCTGTCTCAAAAAAAAGAAGTTCTAAAAAATAGATATAAAACCATTTTTTAAGTTTTAAGTTTCATTTATGAAAAGTACTGTGATGAAATCTTGAGATATGGATCACTCTGTTGTCCAGTACATCCATGCTCACCCATTAAGTTACTTAATTATTACTGTTATCACATCAAATATATCTCAGTGCTTGTGTTCAAGTGACCCATATTCTACTTAATAACCTCAAATTACAAGAATAGTGATGTTGGCCAAAGAGAATATGCCAAAGATAAGCCATAAAGTGTTCACTTTACGAGAAAAGAGAAAAGTTCTCAGTTTAGTATGGAAAGAACAAATCATACACTGAGGTTGCTAAAATTTATGGTACAGTATTTTGAGAGGGAGAAAGAGACCACACTCACATAACATTTATATGTATGTTGTAATAGTGTATTGTAACTGTCTGCTTTACTATTAGATATTATTGTTAATTTCTTGCTGTATCTGATATGTAAATTAGGCTTTGCCATAGATAGGTATGTATAGGAGAAAACAGTGTTTATAGGTTTCTGTACTATGGGAGGTTTCAGGCATCTACCATAATGGAGACTTCTCCATCCATAATGGAGACTTCTCCGTACGGGTATGTCATTATATCTATCTACCTTGTCTTTTTTCAATAACCTCAAGGTTAGGTATTCTATCTTCTGCTTCTCTCAGAGTGATCTACAGAAGCTGGCAAAATATCTAACATACATAAATGCCACAGTGATAGGAATTATATCAAACTGCTCTCAGAAAACGTCTCTGCTTTAGATTCCTGCATTAAAGCAATAGAGGTCCACAAGACCATCAAAAACATTTACCAAATATTCATTTCATTTAGTTATCTTCTGGCAGATTTTAATAAGAAAATATTCTTCTGGAAAAACAGACAATTTTCTCATAATTCTGCATAGGTGGTCATTAATCAGTTGCCTGTGATCAGAAGTGGTTCATCAGTGGGTACATCTGTAAATCACCTGTGCTTAAACCACATCCTCTGCATTCCAGCAGGTCCTTACCAGGAAGTGTTTTTGCATCCTATGCACTAGTGTAAGTGGGGTTGGGTTTTAAAGTGCTATAGTGGAACCTGTGGATCTGGGTTCCAGATGTAGGTAGAATACAGCACTATCATTCTATCTTATGCACTACCTTTAATTAGAATTGAAGGGACAACTGAATTGGTATTCAGTAAACTCTACAAAATATAAATCTGGCAATGTTAATTTTCTCTTATCTACCTCTGAAACAACCAGCTCCCCCCTCCCCATCTTCTGGTAGAAGATGTTTCTCAGAGCAATCAGCAGAGGGGTCCCTCCCCACCCTCTTAATCCCTCAGTGACCATTGAGCCAATTGTCAGAATCTCAAGTTTCTTCCAATTATGGAAGCCCAGGATTCTTTGAGTTCCTTCCCTGTGTAATCTTTATCTTCTCACCAAGTTGTAAACACAAGTAAACATTTGGCAACTTCCGATAAAAGAATCTTGATAAAATCAAAACAGTTCTCATGTTCTATCACCTCTCTGATTTCTCTTCTTATGAATAATAGTGCAATGGAGAAAGCGCACAGGGGAAAGAACTGGGTATGTGACCGAGGAACAATTGAAGTGCCTTGAATAAGCAGAACGCAAAGCCTAGCTTAAACCAGGTATAATCCCAGCACTCAAGAAGCAGAGGCAGGAGAATGGCTGCAAGTTTAAGACCAGTCTGGTCTACACAGCAAGACCCCATATCAAAAAAGGAAAGGAAGTGGGTGGGCAAGATGACTCAGCAGGTAAA